TACTAAAAACAGAAGCAAAAAAAAAAAAAAAAAAAAAAGATGTATGGACTGGAAATTGTTAAGACTGGCCTCAAATATCAGTTAGGGGAATGGCTGAACAATGCCATCATTTTGTTCCAGAACAATATAGGGCTTCTCTCATTGTAAAGTCTCTGAGCATGTTACAACCTTTGGAGAGGGGCAGCTTCACTGGGATTGGGAGTCAGGGTTGGCAAGTCAGCTTCCCAATACTGACCCAAGAGAATACCCAGTTGTCTTGAAAATTATGTTAGGAATTATTGGAGAGAAGCTTCATAGAGGGACATTAGTCAAAGCTGGGAAATTGTATTTTGTTGACTTACTTGCAAGATGAACCTGAGCACATTGAATCACCTCTTTCCTGGTCAGGTATTCAAAACATCAGTTATCACATGCTTCTGGAATCACCAGTTGTTGTCTTTTGTTTGGTGCAGTCACTGATTCACTGCAGGGATGGGGGCAAAGTTGTAAGCAGTGGGAATTAGGTCAATTGGTGGGGGAGAGCAAGATGAAAATGTTCTGGAAAGTTTACCTCTTTTTTCTCCTTGTTATATAAGGTGTGGTTTCTCCAAGGAAACAATACACTAAATAAAAGTTCAGGCTTCAACCCATAGAAACTTATTTAACCTACAGAGCTGCTGACTTTATTCAATATAAAAAGGGAAATATACTTTGAGAGTGACGAAATAGTGCAGTTTAGAGTTTTCCCTGAGCAAGGCTGGATATGCGGTAGAGGACGGATGGAGGGAGAGCTGGATGAAATGAGGTCCTCTCACTCAACGAGCTCACAGAGAAAATGGCTGGGGCAAAGGATCAGACAGGGAGCTGCTAAGAACACTCAGGAATAGCAAGAATACACGGAAGAGGGTGGGAAGAAGGTGCAGCATGGTCAGCATGGGGCCTTCTGAGTAGCACTGGTAGTCTCATCACTCAGATGAAAGGTCACTGTCCATCCTGTTAATGCAGGCGACTTCCTAAAGGTAGATTTTTTTCTTATGGCTTCACTTTAGACTGAAGAATTATCTTATATACAATAGTTTATTACCATGAAAACTATGAAACTGATTAATTGCAAGAATATCTTTTATGTCTAACCTTCTGGAAGCAGAAATGCAATAACTCCATATTCTTTTAATAACCAGTTCATTCTGTAACTTTGTACCTTACAAGAGATAAAGCGTGGAAAACCTTGTACTGTTACCAAGGATACCAAATCTGTAAATTCTAGTCTGGGGTTAGGAGAAGGAATAAAGGAGAGTAGGGGAGAAAAAAAGGAATCTGTAGCCAGTACCAGGGGTCAGGCCCAGGAATAATTCACAAAAGACTAGAGATCAAATTCCAGTGCCTGCCTGTTTCTGTGAGTATCTGAGCAGCACTATGTGCAAGTTGATTAGCTCTATTTTTTAAAAAATGACATTAAAATGCTTTAGATTTTGGAGAATATCAGATTAGAATTTCTGGTCAGGTATGTTCACCTGGTAAAACCTATATGAATATTCTAAGTGCAACAAACTCCAAAATCTACACTTTCTGGTCACAAGAATTTTGAGAAAGGAATACTCATTCTGTAGGAAATTCTTTCTATTGGGTCCCGTAGAATAAGGATGCTGTGGTAGGCTATGAGAAATCAAAGAAATGATATTAGATTTAATGATGTTTGCTATAGTTTGGACCTTCATGACCCCAAAGGCTCATGTGTTAAAGGTTTTGTCCCTAGCTTGGTGCCATTGGGAGGTGGTGGGAATTTTAAGAGGTGGATCTCTGGGAGGGCTTCCAGTTATCTGGGAACATGTGCTTGAAGGAGACATGGAGAACCCAGGCCCTTCTTCCAACTCTTTCCTCTGCCGCGAGATGAAAGCTTTGCTTTGCTCCTTAGTCCCCACCATGATGTTCTGCCTTTCCATAGGCCCCAAAGCAAGAGATCTCCTGATTAAAACCTCTACAACTGTGAGCTAAAATAAATCTTTCTCTTTATAAGTTGATTATCTCAGATCTTTTATTATAGTAACAGAAAACTGACTAACACCAGGTTTACCTGCTTTTTTATGTTAACAGGATAAGAGACTGACTAGAATTTCAATTTTTTATTGAGAGGTTTAAAAAAATTATTTTAAAGAGAATAAAACCAAACAAAATGAAACTGAAGAAAGCCAATCAAAACAAAACAATGAGAGCAATATAGGACTTCAAACAAGATAATAGAAAATCAACAGTGGCTACCATATTACCCATGTTGTCTTCAAAATAGCTGCCCATACCATCAGACATAATAAAATCAAACAAAACAGAACAGAATAAAACTAATCAGAACAAAACAATGATGGTGATACAGGACTTTAAAACAAGATGATAGGAAATCAACAATGGCTACCATAATATATCCTGTTATCTTCAAAACAGCTGCCCATAGCGTCAGACATAATAGAATCTAGCAGAACAGAACAGAATAAAACCAAAACAAACCAAACAATGAAAATGATATGGGACTTCAAAATAAGACAACAGGAAATTAACAATGGCTTCCCTTTTTAGCCATTTCCTCCATTTTCACCTATACAATATTTATTGTACACTTTGGATTCCACTAACGTCTTCAGTTTTTTCTCTGTAATTTTAAAGGAAATAAATCAGAGCAATAAAACAAATCAAAATAGCAATAAGACATAGGAAATCTGCAGTAGTTACTGTATTGCATATTGTTGTTCTCTGGTTACTGGCTTCTGGCCTGCAAAGCCAATCAAACAACACAGTCCCTCTGAATCAGCTTTATTAAGAGATTTGATTGAACCAAGCCTTTGATCCCATTTCCATCCTCAGTTTAGTTTTTTGTAATAAGGATGTGAAGCACAGAAAAATCGTAGACAAAGAAAAGGAACTAAAATGAATAAATAAAAGTCATAGGCAATTCATTTGTAACTCACTAATAGCAAGAAATATATATATTTGAAATATAAAATATTTGGTAAGGTTCCTTAAGAAAATACTTTGGAATATTAAAAATTGTTAGGATTGGCTTGTTGGACATTATGTTTTTGAAGACTGACACTGTGTCAGTCTTTTTAAGTACGTGTCACCCTGAGACACGTACTTAAAAACTTAACCGGGGAAATATCTCATCTTACTTGTAAAATTATTAGCTACGGTCCTGGTGGGTGGCTGGACCTTTCTGAAGCAGCACTGTATTGTCTCCTACTGTGTGACCTACATCTATATGAGTGAAAAGATGACTAAACAACAATACAGATAGGCTGATTCTAACATATTTCTTCAGCTTCTATAATGAAATAACCTTTCTATTCCTTTGTTTTATTCCCCTCCTTTTCTCTTTTAACGTGGCACTAGGGGTAGAACCCAAGGCTGCACATATGCTAGGTGAGCCCTCTATCATTGAGCTACACCACCAATCCCTCCTAACACCTTTTACATTTTGAGACAGGGTCTTGCTAAATTGCCAAAGCTGGCCACCAACTTATGATCATCCTGCCTAAGCCTCTTGAGCAACTGGGATTACAGGTGACAGCTTTTCAATCTAATTTTTTAAAATCTCTATAGGGAAGTAGTGATTAACAAAGTTGTGTTATCAAAACCAGAAAAATATAAAGTCACTCATAAAACATATAAAATCACTCATAAAACTCAGTATCTAGACAGCAATAATGAATGTTATTGTATAGGAGATAAGCCATGGCAAAGCCGGCTTTGACAATGAACAGGTCCTGTCAATTACAAGAACCCAGGGTAACTCAAGGACTCCATACATATAACTTGCTCTAAGCATCCACGAGATGTGAATGGCATAAAAAGGGCCAGCTATCATGGAAAGTGGCTATTGTATTGGTACAGTGGCCCTTGGTGCCTGTGAATGTGGAGTGTACTTTAATTTTAGCTTTTATCATCTTTCAATCTTTGGCCCAAGTTCGCTCAGCAGAGCTGATTTCTCCCATACCCTTTTATCACACTTTTCACATTAACTTTTTGGCACCATTATTGCCTTGTCTCATCCAATTCTTTGTTTGAAGCAAGAGGAACCTGAAATCTTTTGATTGGTGAGCCATTTCTAAAGGAACTATCCTATAACAGTGTGATACATTATGGAGCATCACTAAAATGTCATATTACACCAGTGTTATTAGGAATAATGTATAGAAACATGCAAACATATGTAAGATATATTAAAAGAGAAAGAAGAAGAAAAATACTGTTTTAATATACGTGCTGCGTGTACATGTGATGGAAGTCAGGAAGACACTATGCCAACATAGAAATGTAAAACTCGTATTGAGACACAGGAATTATGGAGTCTCAGAATATTTTCTTTAATGTGACGAAATGATAGCAGTGTTGGTAATAGCAAATAAATGATGTGGGGATAGTAATAAAAGAAAAAATATTTAAAAGAATGAATCTTTCTTTCTTTCCTATATTTGCCAACTCAATTGATATTAAGATTTTCACTCCTGAAAATATTTCCAGAGAAGCTGGTTAGCAGGCTCTAGAAGACAGCTTGAACTTAACTTACCTGGATTTTGTTTGCCAAGCAGATTGCAACAGATAATAAGTCTTGAAACCGCTGTCTCGTATGTTATAAATTGGCTATTTTGGCTAGATTAACACTTAGGAGTCAAGAAACAGTTTGGGGAAAGAACTCCTGCACCTGCTAAGCGGGAATATAGAGCAAGAGGAATGAGAAATTTCAGAGATAAAAAGCCTACTTAAAGTTAAGCAGAAATAAACATTTGGGTTAATAGTAAAATAAGGGAAACTAATGCTTGCTTAAATTTATATCAGCTTGAAAGTTTTTTAAAGGCTTCCAGGAACAATCTTTTTGCCTATTATACTATATTAATATTTTCTAAAACTGTTGATTAAACTGAATAGTTCCTTTCATCTCTAAAGGGCAGAAATATTTCTTTTTCACCTTTACTTTTATTTTTGTTCAAAAGAACAGCACTTTCATTCTGAATAGTAGTTAGAAGTGTTGATTTGGGGCAGTAGATACCTTTCTGCATAGAGGAAAATGCTACTTAATATAAGATATTAAGAATCGACACAGGACACATCACACATTTTATTCTTTCTGGTTAGCAAAGCTAAACCTCCATCCCAACATTTGCAAACGATCATTTTAGCACAGGAAAATAGTTCCTTAAATGCCTACAAAGATACTTTCAGAATGTTAAGTAGGTAGGTGGAAGAAGAAATAGGAAATAGACTTATGAACTAGAACTTGAAAATGTGATAAAATATGTAATATCTCTAAACAAGTAGGTGGCCCTAGACTTGGGAATAGGAGTGTGTATGTGTGTGTGTGTGTGCTTTATGCAGGAGTTTTATCTGCTTCTAGAAAATGAGAAAGTAACTTTTCCAAATCTCAAGCCATACCTCTCGGACCTATAAATTCACTGTTTCTGCAAACATCTGTCTAGCTTTCTTTTCTCTTCTAAATATGTCAACAGTAGCAAACAGTTAGTGGAAGTCTTTGTTTCTAAGAGTTACCCAATATTTTCTCCTTTATAGAAATATTATTTCCCACTTTCAAAATGTTTTGAAATTATTAAAAAGTACTAGGCCACTATCTCTCCCCATCTGAAATCCAAAATCATTGCATTTTTTAAGTTTGTACATTATATTGCCTTGGGATATCTCAACATTTAAAAACTCCTCCTCAGAAATATTTTACTCCTAACTTCTTCAATTTTATTTTCAGGAAGCTATTGAATAAATAATACCTGGTAATCAAATACATATGGTTTTATACATCTATCAAAAAAATTTTAGGTAGTAGCAATTCAATCCATGTCATATAAGTTTTGGTTAAAATCTGCATAACTTTGACATGCATTTTCCTGTAACTCATTTTCCAGCCACAAATAAAGTGCCTTTGGTATAATACAGAATATTCAAACTGAGAAGGAATGAAAGAAACAATTTAGTACAAATCAGTTCCACTCCCTCATCTTTCGTGTAGTAGGACACTGACACAATAATTGCCCAGGATCACACATCTCATTTTATGGCATTTAAGCTCTATTAAAAATTCATGTACCTTAGATCCTGAACTTGATCTGAAAGTTTTGAATTTTATGAGAACATAATTTTTATGACAGAACAATTGGTACACATATGAAGGAATTTCAGTCAGACTTGAGATATATGAAAGAGTTAAGTCCTGAATTTTTGCCCTCAATTCACCTGTAGAGAGTGACTAAAATCATCTAATAAGTTAAAATCATCATTCTTTGAAGACTACAAAATATTTTTCACTTTCAAGATGAAGTGTATTGCCATTCCTATATATAAATTAATGTGCTTCCATGATATGAATCAAATGGTATTTTGGTTCATTGTCCTTTCGTCTACTGTAATTGAACAAGAGAAATAAATAGGAAATAAATTTCAGGACACCATAGTGATTTTTCTTCTCAAATGCAGAAAAAGTATAAGGTATACTTTTATCATACAAAGCCTGAGGATTTTTTAGGGCATAATAAAATCCGGGCTTTAATCAAATTTAGTAGATTTCACTGGCATTTATATTCTGTGGGATATTGAGAACAAATGCACAAATAATGACACTTCCAAAGGTTTAATCATTGCATTTCTTACAAATTTTTGCATAATGTTCAGGGCTAACATGTATGTCTCAGATTTTAAAAAGCTTATAGTAGTTACTAGTACACATCTCCCAGAAATGCTGAAGACACCTGAATATATATGTAAAATTCATATTGTCTTGGTTTAAAACAAATTCTAATCTACAAAAAATTTTATATCAAGCCATGTTGTACCTGGCAAGGAAATTATACAGGAATAATAAATAAATGTTTAAAAATTTCAGATGACTCAATGCATCAACTTAAATGATGAGTTTAAGAAGTAAAATATGCCATCTACAATATTAGTTTTTCACATAACTGATCACATTTATTTTATTTGAAAACATGATCTGTCAGAGGATAATACCCTACAAAGTTACACAATTCAGTTTTTTTTAAACTTCTCTTTCCCAAAAAACAGTCTAAGGAGAGCTTAACTATTCTATCTTGATTTTTTCCTTCATTAATTACCAGTTGTGAAAAGCTTTTTGCCAGGCAAAAATCACTTTATATACTAGAACACTAAGATTCTTTTCTGTCAGTGTCTTCAGACATAAAGCAGCTCTGTTTCCTTGTGGGTAGCCCAGCCATCACTTGGTGCCTGGAATTTACAGCCCACTCTAGATTGATCTCGCTTTCTACAGGTGCTAGTAACAATTTTCAGGTTATTTTACAAGGCATTTGACATTGTATGGACAGTTAAAACCAATTGAAACTGCTTCCTTTCCTAATATCTTCCTTTTCCAGGGTCCTTCATCCTTACCATTCTTAAAATGTGTCCCCAGCATGCCTATTTATATGCCTTTCAGGCACTGGAGGCTGGCACACCCATCACATACCATGTCAACCTTAGCAATGTGAAGGCTGCTGGAGAAAGCAATATCCATCCACTGGGAGCTGATGGAGCTGTGTTTCTATCAACACCACAGCAACCCTTGTCTGCAGAACTTAGACTATCGTCTCATTGTCCCACCTGCCCTGCGCCTGATTGATGTAACAACAGTATCTGTCATAGGGACTGTTCTGCTTGTAGGAGCAAACGATGATACTGTCCTGGGGTACAAAGAAGATGCTGTCCTCTGGCTCGGGGCACTCGGATCTGTCCCAGGCTGAGCATTTGGCATCCAAGGCACTGTAGGCGAGAGAACTGCCTGAGGGACAGTAGCCATCCAGATACCTGGACGTCTCTTCCTGATGTCCACTGTGGATGAGGCTCTGGCATTCTCCTTCCTCTGTGGGTGTGTGGGTGGTGATGGAGCTGGCCATGGGCACCTCACTCTGTGCTTGTGGGAGCGGCTTCCCCCTGAGGCCTACCTTCTTAGCCAGCTCATCCGAACTCCCTTTGCCTGACTCAAGGTCTGAAGGGGTCCTCAGCAGCTCCACCACCTCCTTGTCCTTGGGTTTCCGGAAGCAGGGCAGTTTGCGGACCCAGAGCAGCTCATTCTCCGGCCATTTGGTGCATCCTTCAGTCTTCCTGGCCAGGGCAATGGCTGCAATGCCCGGCAGGCAGATGGCTGGCCCGATAGCCAGAAGGGGGATGTTTCCCAGAGTCTCCCCTTTCATCCCAGAGACAGTGAACATGAAACCAAAGACCAGGAAGACACTGACCAGAGCCACCACCAGCCCAGTCCTCGGATTAATGTCATCAGGCCGCATCTTTCACTCCATCCAGGTTGGGGATGCTTGCTGGCCAGGGAGCGGAGGTCCTCCCTTCTGTTAGAGGTGAAATCACAGCGGGTTAAAAGAAAACCCAGTTCAAGTTGCCACTCAGCACCTCTTCTCTTCCTTGCTTCTTATCTTTGACTCTTGGTCTTTCAGTCTTGGTCTCTTTTCCTGACTTTGTGTAACCCTCTAGTACTGTTGGTCCTCTCCTCTGCTTCCCAGGCAATCTCTGTCTCTCTCTGTCTCTGCCTCTCCGTCTCTATTTCTCTGCCTGTCTCTCCCTCCTCCCTCCAACAACTCTTTCTCCTCCTCCCCCCTACTCTGTCTCCTTCTCTCCCTCTCTCTTGCAACCCTGTCTCTGATAAACGCCAGCCGGGCCGGGGGTCTCCAAGGTACCTGAGCTTTGCCGCCTCCCCTGGGGAGCAGGGAAAGAAGGCAGTCGTCTCTTCAGAAATCCTGGCCGCGGTTGCCCCGTGGTGCTCTCCCTTGGCTCGAGGAAGAAAGCCCGGTCTCCCCACTAAGCCTGAGCATCGGGGAGGCGGGACGTGGGAGAGCCTCTCCCCGCCGCGCGTCGGTCCCGGGGCTCTGAAGCGGCGGCGCCTCCCTCCGCGCAGCCAGCGCCTGCTCCGCGCTCCCCTGGGGGCTGCGCTGGAGAGGACCGCGGCCAGCGGCTCCTTACATCACTTTCCGAGCCGCTCGGAAACCACGGCCGCGGACGCGCGAGGGGGTCACTCGGGGTCGGGGACCTGGGTCCGGGCTGGGAGCAGCCAGGGGCCGCTGTGTCCCGCGTGGCGGGGCTGCGCGGGGTGAGTGGACCGGTGTCCGCGCTGGGAGCGGTCCAGGGTGCGAGGGCCCCGAGGGCGGGCCGGGGCGGTCGCCCAGGGCGGGTGTTTGAGCCCGGGGCCCAGACGGGTCCAGCGGAGGTGTCTCGGGACGTCGCACCCGTCTCCACCTACACATCTGGGTGCCCCGACTGCCCTGGCCTCGGTCTCGCGGCTCCTGGCGCCCGTGGACAGCAGCGGCTCCGGACCGCCGTCAGCGGGCCGGGAGGTTTCCCGCCGGGCTCGCGCCTGCCCTCGCCTTCTGCTGTGGACCCCTGAGCTCGGAGTGGACGCCCAGGCCCACTCGGACTCTGCCGTGGTGCCCCAGGCGGGCTGGGGCGATGGAGAAGGAAGGCTCGCCATGGCCCCTAGTCAAGTCCCCAGCTAGACGCAAGGACAAGGTGGGCTGGACCGTCGGGGCCATTGCCCGCCGGTGGCTGGCTCTAGGCCCTTGCTGAAAGTGACCTGGTGCAGAGAATCCAAGCACCGTGTTCTTTTCACTTGGTTATCCACGGAGGTGTAAGGATCCCTCCGGCCCCGAGGGCAAGAATGAGCTTAGCTGGGTAGTAGCGGGTAGTGGGGAACAGGATGGTGATAGACCCATTCTTTGATTTCTTTGGCTGCCTTGGGAAGAATTTTGAAAACCAATTCTTCTCTACATGAACTAGGTGTGCATTTATTGACAAGCTAATCACTTGGAGAATTGGTTGTCCTCGCTGTAAAATGAGAATATTGATACCAAATATGTAAGAGAGCATTGTAAAGATTAACAGAATGTAAAGTTCCCAGCCCAATGCTTTTCTAAACGGTCCCTATTCAAATTTGTTTTTATAGTGTGCCACCATTATCAGTGTCTTTTTCATCCTGTAAGAATGGAGCCAAATCCTAAACACCCATCTGTGGGGCATTTGACGTTAATCCGTTAGTCAAAAGAGAACAACTAAGTGTTTTAAGCAGAAATCAAAAGCATTCAGCTTTTGACAGTGACAGTAGATTGGAGGACAGGCTGAGGTAGTTAAGTCTGGAGGCAAGAAGACTTACTAGGAAGGCAGAGAATTAAGCCAGGGGGACACACCAATCGGGTTAGCAGAGGTGGTGAGAAGCAAGGGGATCTGAAGAATATTTTAAGGATTGGGCCAAGTGAAGTGAGCCAGAGGTAGTTGGGTGGGGAGGGGATTGAACTCCAACTTTCTCACTGTTTGAGGAACTAGATTAATTCAGGAACCATTTTTCATGCGGTTGTCTATTTTGTGTCTTTTGTACTCATGCTTATTAGATAGCTTCTGAACATTTGCAACAGCATCATTCAAAAAGGAAGGAACGGAGGAAGACAGCAAGGGCAACAGAGTGGTGCCAGATATTCGGCCATTTGTATTTCCTAATACACTTGTATTCCTAGGAGCCCCACCAAGTAGGCGTCTGCTTGTAACTGGCCAGAGGATGTGCTGCTGCTCTTCGCTAGGAGAGCAAATTTTTATTTGTTTCTCAGATTCATTGCTGCTCTAAAAGAAAAGGGACTTTGATGGTGCAAAAAAGGGAAGCATGAACACTGGAGAAGCAGCTAGCTTGTGTGTGCTCCAACTACTGACCGTTGTTCCCATTCTGCAGCCCCCCTTCCCCTGCCTTTATTGTCCTGATTTTTCCCCTACCTTGTCACTCATTTGAAGGTACTTAGTAAACTCCTTTTTATTTGTAACAGATCTGTCGCTGTTTGGCTAGCTCTGCTCTAGTTACTCTCCTTTCTAACAGCTTCAAGCAGCCTGGACAGGCTAATGACTTTCAGATCTCTTTAGCTTGTCCGCTTCTCTCTGTTTCAGATCTATAATATTCATCTGTCTACTTGATGCTGCTATCTGTATAGTAAGCAGACCCTGTACATTCAACTTGATAGAAATTTGTTTTTTTTTTTTTTTTCTTTTTCTTTTTGGTCATTTTGGGACAAAGTCTCCCTCTGCAGTTCAGGCTGGCTTTGAGTTCATTTTGTAGCCCAGGCTGGTCTTGAACTTGCAACGACCCTCCTGCCTCAGCCTCCCAAGTATTAGGATTACAAGCTTATACCATCATGCTTGGCTTCATAATAGATATTTAACTCACCATATTTTTTCAGTCTTTCTTTCTCATTTGACCCCATCATTCTTCTCCTTTGACAACTGCGGATATTTGGAATTGTTCTGTACTTTTTTCTTTCCCTAAAAACCTATATACAATGAGTCACAGTTTTTACTCTCTAAGTGTCTTGGTTACCCCTCATTGTGAGCATGCAACAATTACTTTGCTTTTCTGGATTTTAATTCCTTGTGGAACGAAGATTTTTGATAAGGAGTTAAGTTTAGGTCCATTTCAATTCTAATATTCCATGCTTGTCTGGTGGTTACCCCTGTAGGGCTGAGTTTATACTGGTTGTATTGGATAGAGATTTTCTAGGTGAACAGAGTCAGTAGAAAAAAAATAGATATATAATTATGCAAGGTGGGCTTATGGTGTCAGAGAAAGGAGAGTCCACAATGCCAACTGTATGCCGGAGAGCTGCAGGATATAGTGTTGGCTCAGCCCAAAATGATGGAAACTGCAGAACAAGAAGGAGCAAAGATGTAGCCCCAGTCCACAGCTGAAGAACTGGGAACTCACTAGAGAGCTGCTGTTATAAGTCTGCATTGAAAGGCTGAAGGAATTGGGGAAAGCAATGTGCAAAAATGGTGGCAACAAAAGACACAGCTCCTCAGGCTGATGGGACCTTTTAAAAATGCACACCGGCACCCTTCCTTTCTTTATTTCATTCAAACTATTGGCTGGTGTCACTCATGACTGGGGTGGGTCTTCCACTCCCTGCAGTTTGCTGGCTTGCCTGCCGACTGTCTCTAGAAAGAGCTCACAGACACCCAGAACTGTGTTTGACTAATCTGCTAGGCATTTCTTCTTGTTTTCTGGAGATTTTTTTTAAATTTTATTTAAGGAGAAAAGAAAAGAAAGAAAAAAAAAAACAGTGAAGGGGTACAAGTTATACAGATTTACAGGAGAAAAAAATGCGCAGTAGGAAATCACTAGTTAATGGATTACATATTGCCATCTTAGAAATAATTGTTCAAGTCACAAAATTAAAGCTTGTAGAGTGGACATTCCAACAATGATACTGCAAACAGTTCTGTTCAATGATCCAATAAAACTCTGTGATATCATTTTCTATCTTATACATTTGAATATACATGCAGTTATATAGTTTAGAGCACTCTCTTTTCCTCTCTTTTGTACAATGACTATTACACATTTTGGGTTTCATTGCTCCCACGGTTCTTATTGCTTTTTTGGAAGAGAGTAAAACCAAATGTGACATAACAGAACAGAATCGGTCAAGTCAAAAGGGTGGACATAATAGATAATATAAAAACATAATACAAGGTGATCAACAATGGTTACCATAATGCCTCCCGCTATTTCTAATAGAATTGCCTATATCATTAGTTGTTATACAATTGAACAAAACCGTAAAGAATAAAACCGACAAAACCAAAACATTGGAGATATTGTAGGTCTTCAAAAGTAGATAAAAGTCAATGAGAATGGGCGTTATAATGAATCTCATTATTTTCTCAGCTGATGCCTAAACTTTCGAACCTGATACTATCCAGCAAAACAGAATAGAGGAACCTCAGTCAAAAACAAGATGGTGAGAGTAATACAGGGCTTCAAATCGAGATAATAGAAAGTCAAAGTGGGTTACTATATTATATCCTGCTATATTTTTCCCTTTAATTAAATGGATAAAAATAAAAAAGTAAATAATGGAGTGGAGATTGAGAAAAAAGAGGGCATAACAGCGAAACAGGGCAGATCAAAACATAACCATTTAAGCAGAATAGTGTTTCACCACCAGATAATCCTGACCCAAAAATAGTTACCATATTGACTCCCTCCCTGAAGTCCTTGAGTACAACTCCATATACTGTAGCATTAAGTATATCAAAACAATGTAAAACCATTTAAGAGAATGACAGCATTATAGAGTATTTAGAATCGACTAACAGAAAATGAACAATGGTCTCTGTATAATCTCCTTGTCTTTAAAAGGTTTTTGCTTATACTATCGTACATAACAAAATCCAATAAGATACAACCTGTTTAGACCATTGGAGACAGAAGAACAAAAGCTAGATGAGACTTCAAAACAAGATGGTACTAAATCAGCATTACCTATTAAGATGTCATTTTCTCCAAAAAAAGCTGTTCCTATCATCCAATCTTCTCTGTCTCATTTCTGTTGAGCTCTTTTTCTGTCAGTAGCTGTCAGTTTGTCTTCTTCATTTTGTTCTCTGCTCCATTCGTTGTGGCCTCCCCGCCACTATTTCTGGGTTCTTTGTATTTTTCTTTTTTTAGAATATCCTGCAATACTTTCTGTAGGGTTGAATTGGTGGTTGCAAATTCCCCCAGTTCCTCTTTATCCTGGAAGCACCTCGTTTTTCCATCAATTTCCAGGGACAGTTGTGCAGGATATCTCAATCTTGGCTGGAGATTATTATCTTTCAAAGCTTGAATTATTTCTCCCCATGCTCTTCGTGATTTGATGGTTTGTGAAGAGAAATCTGCTGTAATTCTGATGGGTATTCCCTTGTAAGTGATCTGTTTCTTGTCTCTTACAGCTTTTAATATTCTGTTCTTGTATTGAATTTCTGGAATTTTTATTATTATATGCCTGGGTGTTTCTCTGTTAGGGTTGTAGG